AGAGATATTATATATTATATCTCTTATATATTAAGATTTATTATTATTTTAATTTTTTAAATTTTAATAGTTTTAAAATATAATTATTATATTATATTTTTCTTTTAAAATATATTATATTTTAAGAAGAGTTTATAATATATTAGTATTATTTTAAAAAAGTCCTATATTATATATTATACCTCTTATATATTAAGAGTTATTACTATTTTAATTTTTAAGCTAATACTTTATAATACTACTAGATCTTTTATATAAGGTAAAATACTTTTACTATAAGAGGTACTCTCGTATAAAGAACTACGAGGTCTATTCGAGCCACGACTACTTTCCTACTAGAGGGCGATTCTAAAGATAAAAGTCTAAAGCTGTACACTTAGGCGAGCTGTAGTTTATGAGCTACACGATTTGAAAGGACACGAGGGGAGGTATATGTAGAGGGGAAAAGATAATATTTGATTTATAGGTAGGAAGCGATATATACTAATCAATATCCTCCATTTCATCGTCAATACTCTGGCAAAGCTCTGGAGCTGCGTATTTGTACGCTCGCAGTAGCGCTTCTGCCCAGCTCTCGGCGAGCCGTACTTGGTCTAGCTTTTGGTCGAGAGCTTCTATATCAGCTTCTATGGACCGTTCAAGGTCGGCGGCCGGTATTGACATGTACGGCTGCAAGCGCTCAATGATGGAGTCGCATTCTCGAGTGACGGCATTTATCCTCGCGATGCCCGAGTCGAGTCTTTCGAGCGTTGCCTCGAACCGCAGTCGTTGCTCGCGATCGGCGCGGCAGCTGATTATGTTGTCCTGTAGCGGACCGTTGGGGCAGCCGAGAACAAGGTCTTCGGCCTGGGCCATGCCAGCGTCGGATCCGGCATTATCGCCGCCAGGGATCGAGTTGAATCCGGTCTGGTGGACCAGCGACCCGGCCAGTGTGACGACAAGCTGCTCTGCCGTACGCAGCTGGCTGGCCTTCCAGGTGCGGAGAACAACATGCACGGACAAGTCTACGTGGAATCCGAGGGCGGCGAGGACGCTTACCGTCAGACCGAGCGACCGGTTTACAGACGAGAAGTGCTGCGTCTTGCGGTAGTTTGCGAGCCTATTATTGAGTCTTCGGGAGCACCCGACGTAGAGGGGACTCTGGACGTGGCGAACGTCCGGGTCGACGGCAGCGCTTGCATCGGCCGGCAGCCTTTTGCGAAGCGAAGTAATAAAGGCCTGGACGGACCGTGTGTCTGGCGGGCCCTCGATGAATCTGGCCTCTGTGGGGTACGCGAGGGCAATCGGGCGAAGGGATTTCGAGGCAGTGGAATACATGCCGTCCACCATTGCAACCCATTGGGCCAGTTCGGACTGGCGCGCGGTGCGCTGCGACGGGGTCGTGACGTTCCACAGCACGCGGCAGCCCTCAATGTACCTCTCTAGGCCCGTGATTAGTCTGCGCAGCTCGTTGACGGTGAGGAACTTGCCGCCGGCGCCAATTCTTCGCAGGCCTACGACGTAGACGCCCTGAGCATGGTCTTCGTTGAATGCAGGGTTTGGGTACGTTTCGAGGCGACCGTGGCATGCCTCGTAGGCAACGGTGCCGAGGATGATGGCGCGGATCGTGGACCTGTGCATGCTGAGTAGAAGCATGAACATTTCCCATTTGCGGCCGGAATCCGTCCACAGGGCCAGGGCCGTAGGGCCAATCCTGACGTGGTTGGCGATGAGGACAGGATCCTTGGGGAACTCGCGGCCAATCTTGGCGAGCTCCAGAGACAATTCGTAGAGCGACATGTTGTCGTCCAATGCTCGAAGTAGCCGGTATTGCATTGCCCCTCCGGGCATTGGCATTTCGGCCGAAGGCAGAATGCTAGCTTGTTGCTGTTGCGGCATTGTGTTGAGGGGTTGTCCGAGCCACGTCTCTGGCAACGAAACATGTTTCTGGGTCATGCGAGGATTGTGGAGGTTTTACATTAAATTCTACCTTGGAACAAGCCCTAATGTCACTAAACTGATCATCTTTTTTGGGGGGAAGGAGCGTCTTTTGGGCTCTTTTGGGGAAGGAGCGGCTGAGGAAAGAGGGAGGTGTGGTTTACACAGGCAACGGGGGAGGAAGGAGGGTGGTGGTGTCAGGTTGGAGCTGTGGGCGACACTTGTAGGTCAATTCACGATATTCTGTACATACTGGAGAAGCGCATGGGTGGAAGGATTTATTTCTAGAACCTAGGTAGTCTATTATAAATCATCCACCTTGTCAATAGGGGCAGCGTCAAAATATCGACGCCGCTTGATCCCCCTTGAGTCCAGGGGTTGGCCAGCCTCATGGCACCGGGGAGCAGCCTCACTTGGCGGTAGTCGACCCAGCGGATGCTCCGGTCGCTCGCGTCGGCATATGCAAACGCCGGGCCTTGGGCGTCGGCCGAGATGACCATGACGCTGTGCCCATCCGTGGTGCTCGCGGAAACCATGTGTTCAAAGCCCAAATCTGGGCAATCCACGCCCAGGAACAGCTTCGCCACGAGCCGGGATGACACGGCAGTGTCGTCGGCAACAAGTTGCTCGCCTCCGCCTACGGACGGACACCACGTCCCGGCGGCGGGCCAACGGTGGCCAATGATATCGAGCATTTGGCATGCTGCAATCCTAAATGGGAAAGCGGCAGCGGCGTTCTGCAGAATGGAGACGAGCATGTGGCTCGCGACCTGGAGCACCCAGTTGTCGACGTCGTCAACGCCGTCGTGGGCGACGAGGGCGTGCTGCAGGGCCCGAAGCCTGACCCAAGAAGCCGAAAACCCGTCCTCCCAGACCGCGCTGCCGGCGTGTTCCACCAGCGAAACGACGGCCTCGGGGATCGTCGCACCGGACGCTGCCGTGGCGTCGTAGTACAGAAATTTATAAAAGAAAGCTATAAAAGAAGGAATATTATTAAATTAAATTACTTATTCTTACCTTTTATATACTATTTCTTGGTGAAACTCGGTATATTTCTTATCTTAATATTAGGGACTTGGGACTTTTTAAGCTACCTAGTAGATGATGATGGGCTGGGGTATGAAACCGTATGATAAAAATAGGTGCCTGTGGAGCTGGCAGCACTAGAAGAGTGGGTTGGTAGCACGATTACCACGACTCCGCATGTTGTGGTACATTATTCAACAAAAGGAAAGAAAGCAAAAGAAAAGAAATGGCTGCCTGCATCGAGAAAAAGCTTGGTAATCACTAGAATGTATCTATACACAAACACGCATGTTTATTTCTCCTGGAGGAAATACCCAAGGGGCAGATATATTGGACCATGGTGTAGGCTCAGTAATAAATCCTCTGAAAGGCGGTAGCTGGGGATGGTGGAGACGGGGCTTCAGGGGCTCAAAAGTCTGGATGCCAAATGTCCAACCTGGATTGGTCCGTATTACGCAGTTAGGTTTTGCGGTTCGGGCCGTTATCTAGCAGCCTAATGTCGACCATCTGATTCGCGCTGTACAACCGACGCGTTTCCCCTATGCAAGTTCCACCTTGCAGCCATCTGTGATCTGCAAGACAAGTGTCATTGTCTGTTTTTCAACGCCAACAAGATGGACTGGTTCTTCTTTGGGAAGCCGGATACTTGGATAGCGCTGGAATATCCGGACAATGGTAAACGCAGCTCCCGTGAGAGCAAAGTCCACTGCTCAGATCAGTTTCCCGCCACCCAACAAGTTTCCAAAGATTGTACAGTCAAAAAACGTACTTCCCAGACACATCCGCGCTCCGCCGCTAAACGGCAAATATCCATAGTTGTGAGTAGTCTTGTCCGCAAAGAGAGGCAGATTCTCATCCCATCTCTCTGGGCGAAAGCACTCGGCATTCATGCCATATAGGTCTGGACGACGGTGAAGTGTGTACACGCTAAAAGCCACGCGTGAACCTTTCGGTATCAAGACTGCGGATTTCCCGTCGGGTCCACCACCCACTGGGAGAATAGTATTCTCCACCGCCGTCCTGGTGTTCACCGGCACCGAAGGATACAAGCGAAGCGCTGGCTTGACTATTAGCATTTATACACGTCTTTTTAAAGCCATCTGATCTTACTCTTTTAGCACATTTCGCAAATAGTGGAGGTTTCGCAAGTGCGTTCTGTTTAATGGGCCATCCTCGAGTTGAGAAATTTCCCTTCGCACCTTGTCCATTGCTTCAGGATGCCTGACAAGCAAGAAGCTATACGTGGATATGAGTATATGTCACATTGCAAGAGGCGTCATGATTAAACTTACAAGGTCCAGGAGAGCAGGCAAGCGGTAGCATCACGGCCAGCAGCTAGAATGTTAATAATCTGTCCACGAAGTGCTGTTCTGTCGGGACAGGCTTGAGCAACAGATTTTAAGAAGACGTATCTTTTGTCGGTTGGGTCGTCTGATGAGGTGCTCTCGGAAAGTTTTTGGTCAATAACCTGATCAGCGAATTCGTGCACTTTACGGCAGGCATCGCCAAACTCGGAGCCCCCGATAAGCCAGTAAAGGTCCAGAAGGCGGTATCTTTTGATGACATATTTCTGCGCAAGGTCAAATGCTGCCGCAAAAGTCTGTTCTTGGCTATTGTCTGTTGCCCTCAGGCTGTGAATAGACTCCCCAAAGAAAAATGCAGTTGTTATATCCAGTGTGAGGCGGAAAAATAGTGGCTGGAGGTCGACTACACCACCAATTGGAGGTAGTTCACTCAACAGGTCGTCCATGGGCTCTACAAAAACTGCAAGGTCTCCATATTGTCGATGTACTAGCTGTGGACGGATTAGGTCTCGTGAGTGCTTCCAGGCCTCGCCTTCCTGGGTAAAGATGCCATCCCCAAACATCGGAAAGGTGATTGCTCTCCTAAGACCAAGGGACAGTCTAGCTTTACTTGTTAATAACGTTGTCTGTCTCCGAATTGTATGTTTTGTCGGCTAATGACCTTACCCTTAAAGACGGTGGAGAATATTGCCTCTAAATTCGTGGATCAACAGTGCCAAACGCCGGGTTGCGTAGAAATAGTTGCTGCAAGGTATACCCTGTCTGACGGAAGTGAAGAGAAATAGCTCCATAAGCCGTGACTCGGAATCTGCGCGGAATATCTGCTCAAGGCGGTCTATACCTAGTGGCCTCTGGTTCTGAAGCATTGGTGGGGGGAGACACCCATGGGCCATGAGCAGCGGCCAGTTCCTCCAGTATCTTCTGATGGTTAGAGAGGTACAAAATTAAGCACATCTTTCAACGGTGTCTCGTTGAGTCAGACCTTTTGCTTTCGTTTTCCGCCCACATATCTGTTAATAGACAGCCAACCTATGAGGAATAAAAGTAGCGGGTACAGCATGTTGAGTGTGGAGCTGAAATGGGACGGCAGCATGAAACTCGCGAGACGATGATGCGTTGACCGATTTCGGGAATTTCGGACCAAGCCGCGTGAACAGAGGAGAATAAAATGCAAGGGGTTAAGGAAATGGGCGATGGGTGGCGTCCATTCTCGTCGCACCTGAGCGCTGTCAAATGCATTAGGTGGTCCACTCATTTGCGACAACCGAAGCCCATTGGTAAAGTAAACTTTTGCCAATTCTGCCGACATGAGGCAAACTGCACGTGCTGCGAGATGAGATGAGTGTGGGCGACGAGTGGTTTGACAACCAACATGAGCCTCAATGCAGCAAGCTTGATGAAAATAGCAATGCCAGCATCACTCTTTCCTGCGAAAACCAAACCAAAACTTGATTGTAGACATTGAGGGTGGTGGTTTGCAGCCGGTTTCGACGGAAGTCTGAGGAAGAGACACTCCAGTGGTTGAGTAAGCTTCTCCAAGAAGGGCTCGTACCGATAGAACAGCTTGTTGGGAGTGCTGACACGCCGTCAAGAGACGTCAAAAAAAAAAAAAAAAGGAGAGAGAGAGAGAGAGAAAGAGAAAGAAAGAAAAGAAGAAGAAACTTGGACTGACGTACAGCTACCCCCTCGCGATGCCACTATCCTTTAAGCAGGATATTTCAACACGCCAATACCTTGGTGACGGAACCGGTTGCCGACAGAAAAGTCTGAATAACCCGTGAAACGAATATCTCGTAGGCTACTTTTCCTGGGAGCAAGACAAGACTAGCCTCGGAGCACCATGAGATTGTGTAGTAGATTTCTTCCCTCGAGCAGTTTGCCCCTAGCCCTCTCCTTTGCCTCTCCGCGCCCAAAATCCCAAAGCATTAACATCTTTCAGTCTTTTGTCCGGCCAATGTGGTCTGGGCAATAGGTAGTGAAGGACAGCTCCAATCATAGACACTGCTGACCATGCCCGCTCAAGGTCTGATAATTGCAACTTGTGCAAAATTCGCTTCCAGGAACGCCCCTGGATATAGACTGGTTCTCGTCCACAAGGTATCGCATTTGTTCCGCAAGGAGCTTGAGAACATTCTTGTCAGGCGGCATGTCCAACATGGCAACGCAATCACCATAAGTTCGTTCCTAGAGTCATGTCAGATGAGAAGCAACCAGTCCCAGGGGCCGTAATGCAATCCAAAAGATAGGTTACCAACAAGTGAGGTGCAGAGACAAACGTTCAAATTTATATTCGGATCGCCGCCCTGGCTTCCCGTCTAATGTCGGACAAACTCGGCACGCTGCCCCTAATCAGTACGCTAGTTACCCGGCAGACTCAAAAGGAGGCAACTTACGTTGGCGTCAAGAAACGCAGCAGAGCCAAACTGCTGCTGCTGCTTCAACTGAACACCAAGATCTGTCTTTGAGGGCTGGATGGGAGGGATTGAGGAGCCTTAAGGGTATGCAAATCGTACGGAATAAATTACAACAATGGCAAGGGATGACCGGTTGCTGTGAGTGCCCTAAATTCGAGATGAATACTTGGATCCTGGTCAAGACGGGGAAAATGGTCCATTTCTCGCGAGATGCCTTGACCGTTATGTCACGGCGGTGGGATCAAGAGAGAGCCACCTTTTTATCAGTTCGAATAAACGGAGCCGAGGAACTGTACCTTGGAACTTTTTAGGGTGGATAATCACTTACAATCTTACAAACTTTACAATGTTGCAATGCTCTCACGAAGATTCTTTCGTGCTGTCGTTTAGCCACTGCTTTGTATTCTGTATCTCGGAACCTGGGCCGGTGTACTACTTACACGCGTTGCAAATCCCATCTCATAAGCAACAAGTTAGTGGAAGTCGCACGAAATAACTGTCGTGCGTCCTTCGTGAGACGTTGCACTTGTGTACAAGCCAGAGAAGAGCTTCCGGTGAAGGCCGTTCAGGTGGAGACTTTTCTGCTCGTTTGTACCTTGTAGCTTTAGGCCTTTGCGGCTTAAGTGAGGGTAAAGAAATGACGGCTTGTGTGGTCAAGGATGTTGTGCTCAAAGCAGGCAGACGACGGTTGGTTCATCGAGTGTGAGTTGTACAGAGTAAAAGTTGATGAGGAAAAGTACGTGGGGTGGCTAGCCTTCGACTTAGCATCGGGCCCTCGGAAGGACGCAGTGGTATCGCTCCTACTTGTTTAGGCGTAAATGAATTATCTCGTTGCGGCAGGTGCCCCTCATGTTGCTCTTGTCACAGCCGTTTCCAAGTCGAGAAACATTACAGTCAACAGCTCACGACTTGCAAAATATCGTGGATTTCAAAACACGAGACTTGTGGCCCTATCACCACCATTAGAACCCCATTTTTACAACTCTTTGTGGCTTGCCTTCGTTACCTAAATAGGTGAGCGCGCCTGCATGCTCAGCAATCTACGCCGAGGAGGGGAGCAGCAGCAACTTCGTATCACAATAGCCTTGCAAATCCAGCCAGAGTAAGCATGACTACCCTATACCTTCCAGTGAAGCAACGAAATCCGTCAATCTTTATTACCAGAATTGCTGATTCTCCCCGCCAAATGTACAGTGCCAACTTGTTTTGTTACGTTGGTACAAGTCGGGCATTATTACATACATTAATTAGTAACCTATGTGGTTCATCTTGGATAGTTCGCTCCGGGCATCACAAACTTGCCTAATTAGAAGTGTAGCCGTCGTATTGAGATTGCGCCAAATCTAGCCCTGATTAATTGTCTGACTCTACTCCTCCATGTCGTGAGTTGAGATATAGATTCACACGAGAACAGCTGGAACAGCTGGAACAGCAGACCTAAGGCGACAATTCCTGTCGAGTTGCCATTGTTGCCTACAAGCAACGCGGGCATAAGGATGGCTTGGCCTGTATCAAGGAATAGTATGGCGTGGGTCCAATATCATGCCAGGGGAGGGAGTGAAGAGACCCTCGGTTTTCCAAAAAAAAAAAAAAGGAGCCCGATCCAGAAATGTGAATCGACCTTCATTGAAATATATGTGCTCTTTGTGAATGTGGGTGAGACCACGCATATGCATTGTTACTAAGGCTGTGATTCCCGGAATTGGGGTCAAAAAATTGAGGTCAACTTTTTGACCCTGGTCAGTACATGCTCCACCAATTTAAAGTGGGAATATTACTTTGTACCGTCTCACAGCGATTTTTTTAAGGCTTGTGTGTCTTGACTCTTCTTGTGAGGTAGGTCATTTGGTGTTTCGTCTCTTATTCTAATTACTAATGATTTCTTAAGGGTCAAGCCTTAAATTATCATCGCCATATCGCGATCATCATCGCCGTATCGCGATTATCATCGCCGTATCGCGATTATTATTGCCGTATTGCGAGCCTTAAATTATCATCGCTGTTATCCGATTAAGAATGTCGGTCACCCTAATTACAGAAATTAGCGTGAAGCTGCTTTGACCTTCCACCGACATTTTTTTCGAAAAGATTTCACGTAAATCTTGGCAACTAAGCCTTTTACAGGCATTAAAGCTGCCCCTGTTAGCTTGGTACATCGTGAGCAGGGATGGACGGAGGTTTGTGTAAAATATTGGGTCTCTGCTTAAATTTATGTGTTGCATCCAGCTAATTTGAGTCTAGCGCCCATATTGTGCTGAATTGTGCGTCGAAATTGAGGTCAAAAGATTGACCCCAATTCCGGGAATCACAGCCTAAATGAACAATGGCATGAGGGGCTATGAGGACTACGGGGGCCAATTCTCAGCTCAACAACTTACACACGCATCATGATGTAGTGTCCAAACATGCAAAGGCAACGTCTACGACATGAAACGTAGAAGCCGTCAAATGTCAGCTAGTACCATTGCTGGCCTTAGCAGACAGTTTCGAGGTCCGTCCCCGTTAGATGACTGAAACGAAAGGGGCTGCAGTTTGCCAGTTGGATGTGGAGTCGGATTGGCTGCGACTTACTCGAGAGCGGCTCGAGTTTACATCGACTTATTACCAGAATGCATAAAATGTCCCCAGCACGGCGTGCATGAATGTGTCGAGGGAGAGCATGGAAGAAACCAACAGCCCGGAGCCAGCATGGTAGAGGCATAATAATTTCCAACCAACAAGTGGCAGGCACAAAGCCGCCGCAAGGACCAAGAACGCGCTTCAAAAGGTAAAGTGCGCCGGCTGCGTCGAATCGACTCAAGATGCGCCAGAGATTTTGAAAGCAAGCGAGACAGACAGCTGATAGACTGCTCCGTACGGAACAAGTTCTTCCATTGCATTGTTGTGAGTTGTGACTCGGGCCTAGTATTTGTGAGCCTCGTGGTCATGGATCAAGGTTCTCGTATGCTATCCATCGCCTCAGCCAACTCCTCCGCAATACAAAAAGGAACGGATTACCTCTTGCAGGGGGCCAAGACGAGGTGTAATTTGACGAGCGCTCAATGCTTGTCTAGCGTGCGAATGAGTTCTGCGCGATGCAAGTCAAATGGTGGTCCGGTAATAATTTTTAAAATGAGCAAGCGGGCCGGCCGGTCAACTAGGATCGGACGCGCACGCCTATCCCCTCTTCCATGAAATGAGCCGTCAGCCGTCTTTTTGTATGCTGTACGGGGTACGGAGGAAAATATAATAGGGTTGACTACGGAGTATCGGCAAAAGAGAGACAGGACTCGTGGTGATACTGCAATACCAACATTTGTGGTGTCACCCTGCATTCCACAGAATCACGACTTTGGCGGTCGTGGGTCTAACCCGTTCCCAGCAGAACTGCAGCGCCAGACACGACCAAGAAAGGAGGTTATGCTCCTTTCCTGCAGGTGTGGATTGAAATGGGGAGCTGTACGCAGGGCAACTGATCGATTATGGTTCTTGGCCACGCACCAGTGGTGCTGCTTTTGGACGGGGTTGAACAGGGCTGCTGCAAGTCATCGATGGCACTCTTGACCAGACGCATATTGTATGCAACGCGGCGGGCCTGTCCGCATGTCCTATTGCTATTAGTGTAGAGCAGGTTCGCGTCGATGGCGCCTTGGTTTGCCTTTAGAGTTCAGGGACGAGTTCGACGGCAAGGGTCCAGCTCTGCATGTATAGCTCCGTACGGAGTACGCAGTACTTTCGTGGGATATCAGTTCAATCAGTTCATGTGGCTGAGCTGCGCAAAAGGCAAATCAGGCTGGTTCGTACCACATGTGGTCATTATCTTGTCCGACACTTTGACTCTAATTCAAATTCAAATTCAAATTCAAATTCAAATTCAAATTCAAATTCAAATTCAAATTCAAATTCAAATTCAAATTCAAATTCAAATTCAAATTCAAATTCAAATTCAAATTCAAATTCAAATTCAAATTCAAATTCAAATTCAAATTCAAATTCAAATTCAAATGCTCAGTCCCGCCGATCGCACATGTTCGCGGAGCACTAGCATAGTTCAAGCAACCAAAAAAGATCGTCTCGGAAGGCGGCGCGGGTGTGGTGGCATGAGCACATGCACCGACCAGAAGCTAGAGCCAGATGGTCTGGAGATGGAGGGCAGATTAATATTAGCAGCAGAGACAATGCAACATGATGATGAAGAGGGCGAGCGGGTGTCTCGTCATGGAAGGGACAAAAGCCAGGGTCAGACCAGATACGGCCCGGCCAATCGTGTTGCCCCTGGCGCCTGGTCATTTTGTCCTTGTCGCCAAGGCCAGCCGCCACGACCCCAGCCACTCGTTGCCTCGCACCAGCCGAGGAGGGCCAGCCAGCCAGGTGCTTGCCAACTGCCAAGTGCCCAGGTATCTCGGTACAACTTCCAAGGTCGGTATTCTGCGTTGTACACTAAACGGAGGCAGCCTGAGTTTACAACACCAAAAGGCGGCATGCGACAGGCAACAGACGACGCACGAGTGCAGGCGGCCTGGATTTGGGCCTCGGTGTCAGAGCCGTTGGTTTGGACCAGGCTGGCTCTTTGTGTGAATGGACCTGATTGTCTGGGCTTTCCAGCTTCCAGAACGCTCGTCAGGACGACTCGTGGTTGCTGGAAAAAAAGGGTCAATTTTACCATTAGAGCCTGATGACGCAACAGTCCGTCTATTTCCAAATTTGAATGTCCATTCTTGGGTTCATCCGGTGTTGCACGCTCGGACAATGGCCAACGCAACGTTTATTGTTCTGGCCCTTGGAGATACATGTACTCTGTACCACAAGAGTGTCTGGCGTCTTGTCTTGTCTATTGTAAAAGTCGACGGGCTTCAAATTCAAAACTGCTGGCTGCCGCCCGTCGCCCGCCGCCCCCTGCTCCAATGCCCCAGCCTTTTATTATCACTTAGTACGGAGCACGCTTAAGACGTCCCACCGCAGCCACCCCCGGCATACCAGCCAACCAGCCCACTTAGCGAGGCTTGAAAGCGGCCCTCCAGAGACCCTCAACGCCTGTTATACCTCCCTGGCCCCCCCCGTAGCGGGTGTCCCCAAGAACTTGACCTTAGAACATTGAATCTCCGCCACACTCACTCGCTCCCTCACGCACAATATCTCGATACCCAAAGGGAGCAATCGTCGGTCGATCGCCTCAGCTCTCCCTCAGAAAAGCGACACTCGACGTTCCTGTCGCTCCCCGACGGTCTGCCTCGAACTTCCCGATTCAGTCGCTACCTACATCAACCTTGGACCTTTTCAACGTCGTTGCAGCGTCTGCGCGATCTCTCGTCTTCTCAGCCCAGCCTCTGCCCGTCGGTTTCCGTCTCGGCCTCAGTCTCGGCCTCGTTGAAGCACTCTCGACAGGAGCTGAACTGCACAGCAACAATCTGATTGCTTTCAATTCGAGTTGCAACTCTGCAATTGAGCGAGCTTGGGAAATTCGCCAACCGCTCAGCGCGCCATTTGGTCCAGTCGTATCCCGATCAACCTGCGACGACGCTGAGCCCAACTCTGCCAATCCTGGTGGCCTCCCATTCCTGAATGCGACATTTGACCGCGCTACAATACCACCTGCAGCCAAAATGGGGTCGACCGACTTTGGAAATTTCAACGTACGTCTTCCGTGCTTTTGGTTTGGGAATCAATTGCGAATTGTGCTCTGGGCTAACAAACCTATGAAGGACTTCTGCAAGGACTCCACCTTGCCAGTGTGTAACGTGAGTCGACTTTCGACATGCCAGACTACTAGACAAATTCCGACTAACGTGTGCTGCCCTGTAGCTGTTTTCAGGACCGAGACACGACCAGAATGGCCCCTGGGGAGGATGCCAACTCACTGGAATTCCGCTGAGCAACAACCGTCACCTGGCTAATTTGGGCTCAATCATTCTCTGTGGCGCCGCCATTGCCACTTCACTTGTCCTGTTGCTGCGATCCGAGAGGAAACGGGCGGCTGTTGGTCGCAGGTGAGGACGAGCATTTCCCCTCCCCCCCCTTCTTTTTCGCCTTTGATGCCTCGACAAGTCACTAATATCGGACCTTGGTAGGGAAATGCAAATATTCCTAGCTGGGTACATCATCATTAGCATATGCGAAATCTTCTCCGTTGGTGGCTTCCCTCTCAACCCGACTGCTCGAGTGGTGCGTGTCCAAGTCAACAACCCCTTTCAACAAGTCAAGCAGTCAAGCCCACCATTGCTAAAACAACATTGCAGGTCTTTAGTGCCATCCATATTGGCATGATTATTGCTACAACTTGGATTCTGATGCTTAATGCCGTCATTGGTTATCAATTAATCGACGATGGAACCCCGCTCTCTGTGGGACTGCTCATTGTTTCTGCCGGCGTCTTGTTTATTGGAACCGGATACATTGCGCTCGACACCGGTCTCAAATGGACTGGCTACTGGAATAGCAGCTATGATGCTCCGAACCGAAACATTGCTCTCTACGTCTTGTACCAGCTTATCCCTCTCATTTTTCTTGTCGCCTTTTTCGTCCTGGAAGCAGTCTTGGTCCTTCGCGTGCTTGGAGAGATTCGACCCATGATTTATCTGACCACTGCTGCTTTGCTTTTCGCCATTGGCCAAGTCTTCAACTACGCCATTAGCAGATTTATTTGCGACGGTACCAGCGGCGCGATTGACGGAGCCTTGTTCGAGACACTCTTTACTCTGCTGTCCGTCGTTGCTGTGTGGATTTTCTGGTCCAGCATTACCGAAGACGACTGGCCAATGCAAACCGGCGCCTCATACGACTAATACGCTGGCGGCATTGTGTCTTTGTTCAGGTGTTTCCATTCTCGGATACGGCGTTAAACGGAGGAAGCATTTTCTTTTAATCCGAATTTTATGTTGGCCATATTCCTTTTCTCTCTTTTTAAAGATCGACGACTTGATTATTAGTCGGACAACGGAAACATGTGTGATGGACAGTACGACGACATTTATATTTAGTTTATTTTTTTCTTCTTCGGTGTGACAGGATTGGCCTGGCGAAACTACCCGAGTTTTCTTGGCCTGGACCAACGCTCCTCCGTGTATAGTGAGGTGATTGGATATTTTAGAAACGGAGGTACTTCACGCCGTCTTGTCCCCAAGAGACGTAAAGTCCGCAGACACCGTCGACAAGAGTCGGGGTGGATGGAGCGATGTGGAAGAGACGTGTTGGTTTGGAAGATGCAAGCGAGATGGCGAGAGAAAGACGATGGCGGGATCAGGTTTCGTTCGATCAACTATGGTGAAATGCATTGCTATCTGCCCGGCATGTTTGCTGTGGCCGCTTTAGATGCAACTTCCGTAATATACCCCAATGTAGCGACTTAATGCATATTAAAAGTCTTGAAGCAAAATGCCGTTGTGTGTGCCCTGTGGTTGTGAAAGTGGCAGATGCACCAACCAGACTTACTTCAATGTTGCCGGTGCTGTCATTGGCCGGTTTGGAGCTTGCCATTTCGGTGGAGTTGCTACGAGGCTGCAACTTCCATATGCTAGCCTCGCCCTTTTTGTCGCTCTTCATCGCAACCTTGACCACTCCCAACGCGACCTCGGGGGGGGGGGGCAAATTCCGGCGGGGCCAACCTGGCA